TCACCCGTTGGCGGGGAACACTATACCAAAATTTCAGCCGCCTAACTTTTGTGGTTCCCGAATTGAAAGTATGCAACAAAATGTGGGACACACACAAAGACACACATACACACAGACAACCCCGTGACAATACGCGTTTTGTAACGCTGTTACACAGCACAAACGTGTAAAAATGTTTTTAAGATTAGTAGGAACGGAGTGCGCTTCTCTGTGATGGGTTTACATAACTAGTTCAGCTTGAATCCATTTATCCAGATTTCTGTGTTTGGAGCATTCACTCACTGGCTTACGGAGGGCATCCTATCTTGTTTTTCAGAATATCGTGCCAAATTAAGTAATTAAGTTACTGGACTGGCTTTTTATTTAGGATGCTGCAACCTCCCTGATGAAACTCATCCACGCAGGTGAGATTCCACAATCGTACAAGAAAAATGCGGAAGACTATGTGAAGCGTGCGGAGAAGATTCGCTCGCTGAGTAAGCCTTCTGTATTTTGCGATTTTCTCAGATCTTTGTTTTCTTTTTTTAAAACATTTGTTCTGTTCAGAGTATTCGTAAAATTTTTAATGTCACTGTCTTTTAAAGGCACATCGAGGGCGTCGACAAGCACCAAAGGCCGGAAGCAACTGGATCTTGAACGGGCCGAATTCCTGATGTACCAGGCACTGGGCGAGGATGAAGCAGGCAACTGCGCAGAAGCGATCACGCTGTATTCTCAGGCTGTCGAGCTCTGCATCGCCACTTCGGTATTGTGCTTATTTTCAAACTCCTTAGAGCAAATCGGATGAGATTTTTTAGCGCTGAAAGGTTTAATCGAGAGCAAGGAAGACCTAGCAGATTTGCACCAATCGTATTATTTCATTTCGCTGGCACTGTAGCTCCCCAACACTGATGCAGGTACTTGGTAATCTGGATGAACAAAATAAGAATAATTTTCAGCAATGCTGGAATTTTCAGCGTGATTCTTGCAATCCAGAAATGGCACGCAAATTGAAAGATTTAGCTAGAAAAGCTTTGGATCGAGCTGAATATCTGAAAGCTGCTGAAGTCAAGAAAAAGAATGACCGGGAGCGAAGCTTAGATTTGCCTGAACCTCCAAAAGATGGTAACATTTTTGCATGAAATTTTCATTCTTCGTGGCATTTTCCTTGCAGTTTTGCAACTTTTCCATTCATTTTTTCTTACAAGTTTTTCATTTTTCATTTTTCGATTCTTCATTTTTGTATGCTTCCTCGCCTTCAGCATTTCTTTTTTTTTGTTGCTTTTACTGTACTATTTCATTTCAGAGCTATCTCTTTTATCTGTGAGTGATTACAAAAAATCGGCGACTTCTTGCTCAAGCGCTACTACAACACCGATCATGCAGCGCAAAGTGCCGAACAGCGATCGTCTCACACAGTCCGAGCTGGCTGTCTTAGCGGCAACTTCGGATATCAACGGACGTCAATATGTCCCATTTTTGGCGATCGATTTGAAAGAACGTTTCGCATATCCAGTACCATTCACGTAAGTTATCAAAAATCTTCACCGCATGCTCCTCCGTCGTTGTAAAGATTCCACTGTTACTGGGTGCAAGTACTTGGCAGTGCAGTTTTCTCACATTCGAAAATTTGATTTATATATTTATGAAATACATAAGCCAATTATGATTTATGGGCTAGTTTACCATCCATCTGTAACTGGCAGCTCTTTTTATTGCTTTTACCAAAGCTGCATTGCCTTTTGACCACCTTGCTGGTGATTTGACGTCCACTTTTTCTGAAAAAACGTACCACCTTAGCAGTCCTCCCAATGGAAGCATTGAGCTCATATTCGAAAAAAAAATTTTTTTTTCTCATGTATTCTAAATCCATTTAATCGCTGGACTTGTAATTTTTGCAATTAATTTTTACATATTTTCCATTCAATTTTTAAAATCTTTCCGTTTTCATATTCGGATAATTCTGTTTGAACTCGGCGATTTAAAAAATGCCAGTTAGGATTTTGAGATTAAAAATTTGAACTTAATAATAATTAATTTGTACTTGAATTTCAGTGACAAGCACGGTCTTTTGGCATTGTCTGCTCGGCAGAAGGAGAGGCTGACAGTTTGGGCACGTCCCGATGAATTCATGGAAGCCCCAACACTCATCGATCGAATCGACAGTGGTACTATAAAACAGGTATTTTTTTTTTTTTCTACATCTTCCTGCTAGTTTTTTGGTGATCTCCTCTCATTATTTTAGCAAAAATTATTTCTAAAGTCTTTTTTGAGTTCCTTCATCCATTGTTTTAGTTAATTAATAATGCTAAGTAGCTTTGAAATAACGACACAGCCAGAATCTTGCCAAGGCCACGCTTTTAACAGTCACTGGGAAGAGCATTTGGAAAACATTTTTTCTTCGGTTATTTGTCGCCCCACCAGCAGCTAAAAAATGTGATATTACATGTAACAAACGGTAAACATCAAATGCCTCAGTGTTTTAGTACAAGAAATACTGTTTTGTACCTCCTAAAAAAGACGGCACTTGCTTCCATCTCTTCACTATGGTTATATTTTGCGACCCATTTTCCTTATTTGTTGAAAAATTTGAATATGAAAATGCTTCTAGACTATCGTTTCTGATTGCTCATTCGTCGCTTCACTAGCCATTTCGGCGCGATATGAAAACCGATTCAAGAAGCCTTTGGTGACGAGGTGCATTTTTTGATTTCGCTTCAGAGTATTTAATGTTATCTGTAGCTTTTTAAGTTTTCTAAATATTGCCCCACTCCCAGCACTAGTGGACCAACACCTTTCTGATTGTCGGGTCACTGAAGTAAACATTTACAACTGACGTACACAACCAGTTTCCCGAACTTCGTAGGTCATTATGTCACCGAGCTGGCTACTGTGATTCCCTGCGATCTTGCGACAGCACGAAAAATGCAGAAACTCATGATCGCACCAGCCCGACTGATGCGCTCCAGCCTGTGTTTTTTTTTTTGTGTGTGTGTATGTGTATGTGTGTGTGTCTGTGTATGTGTGTGTGTGTGCGTGTGTGTGGAAAGGGGGGGGG